ATTACCTTATCTTCAAATGCAGACACCGGGTTCTTGCCAACAAGTCACTGAGCTCAGTCACAAAATGTAAATAATTGCGATAGTCGATACGGTCAGTATTTTGGGAATGCCTAGGTGTGAAATCTGAAAATACTATTTATAAACTCATAAGATAAGTTTCAAGTTTTTGTCACATAATTGCTGATGCCATTTTTAACTCCTGGGAATTCTTTGCAGTTTATAATACCCTGTCTGTATGTGTGTATGTGTGTGTCTGTCTGTCTGTCCGTTCCCCTGATATCTCAAGAATCATATGTTGGTTTTTGATGAAACTTGATGCATAGATGCTCTGGGCTAATTCACAGATTTGATTAGGTTTTAGTGAAAATCTGTGTTTATTAATTACCTAATTTGCATGATAATTAGCTGATTTTTAGCTGTTCCACTGATATCTAAAGAACCACGCATTGGATTTTGATGAAACGTGGTACAAAAATGCCCTGGGATAATGTGCAAACCTGATTACCGGTAGTTTGGGGTTGAAATCAATGTGATATACCGTAAGTACTTATGCTGATAGGGACATGCAATTTGTGCTATAATTTTGTCAGACAAGATATATGATTAAAATATCAAGTCATCATATATGGTCACTATTTTATTAAATATTTATAATTGTTATACCATAGCTATTTGGACCCCCGAGATCATTGCTTGCAGTTATATTTTTAAATGCTGTATTTTCTCTGAAAGAAGCATGTGTGCTAACTTCATGCCTCCAATACCTTCAGCACCCAAGAGTTCTTGCTAGGCTTTCTTTGATTCTGTTTCCTGTTGAGCTATAAATCTATCGCAGTATTTCTTTATTCTGCCAAATAGGGCACGCACTTCTTCGTCAAGCCAGATATCATGTGAATTTAGAAACGATGTTTTCTCCACCATAATTGAAATGAGAGGGTATTTGAAGAAGATGATTGAAGGTGTGACTTCGGCCCGATGGCTGGGCCTTGATGCGTATACATGGTCCATGTCGGGCCCAAGCCTGTCTGAGTAAAACCCTGCATACAATGTCTATCATATATCTAACACAATTATGTTATCATTTCATATCTTGTCAGTTAATACTGTGTTTGAATGAACAGTGTAAGTAATGTAATGGCCAAACTGAGAACAGGAGACATTAATAGAATGTGTGACGTTCCTTTTTTTTTTATGATATTTATTTACATTTCTGTATATAACATACATGGACAAACAAAACATATACATTACATTACAGAAGGCTTAATCTCAAGATATGATTTCAAAAGAAACTGTGTGTGGTAAGATCTAGCTAGATAGAAAATGAAAACATAAATAAATTATGACTATTTTAATTTCAATTTTAATAAGCCTGAGTAGTCTATCCTGTATATGATTGACCACTTTTTGTTATGTACCTCGAGTTTACTATTCTTCGTTGCAATATATTCCTCAATCTCTTTTATATCTTTGACCATGATTATGTAAATATTAAAATTTGGATTGATTAGTTGCAGTTTGCATTTATACAAGTGTATTTTACCAAGAATGAGAAGATGATTTGTGAGTTGGGACAATTCCGTTGAACCAAGTATTATATCCTGAACACTCGGAAAACCATCTGTTGGAATGCATTCTGGGAACCACCTCGAGAATGTTGTCCAGAAATTACGGGAAAAGATACAATGATAAAATAAATGATACATTGTTTCATTTTCAGCTTTACAAAAACTACATAAAGGGTTGTCAACCAGTGGAGAATCAAATTTAAAGAGATCTGAATTAAAGTACAATATATTGTGTATAATTTTAAATTGAAACTCTCGTGATTTAGTGTCTATCGTGACATAAAATGGTAAAATATACAACTTTCTCAAACTTGAAAATGGAATATCAAAATCATTCATAAATTTGTTAGCACTTGTCGGCCTTTGGTATTTTGATTTTCCCAATTGCCGTTTAATTGTAGATTTAGAAACAACACTGATAGGAACAAACTTTTTGTCAATATAAATACATGGTGAATGTTTCCTATTGGCTGTACGTGTATGATTGTACTTCAGCCAGGGGGGGGGGGGGGA